CCGGGCCTGGGAAAACCGGGGGGCGGCACGGGGGCACCCAACCCCTTTCCCCCCCGTGGACCGGGGGGGGGGGGGCCCCTTTCCCCGGCCCCCAAAAAGCGGAATTTTTACCCGGGACCAAAACCGGGGGGGTTCCCCCCCCCGGGGGGGGAAAGGGGGCCTTCAAAATGGTTCCGGGGGGGGGGGGTAGGGCCCCCCCTTATTCCCCCAAATTTCCGTCCCCCCCCCCCCCCCCCCCCCCCGACCTCCTCCCATTGGCATCTCTAATGTCCGTTCACAACGAGATGGTTGTTGGCATGTCCAAGTTGGGCAATTAAAAGGGGTGTACGTTTTCGACAGAGCACCAAAACTTTCCGACAAAATAGTCCTGGCGCGCGAAGCGTCTGCTTAATAAACTTGTTTACGTATCTCTCGAGTCGAATCTTAAAATTGTGATACGCTCAAGTGCCACGCACGCCAGTAGGAGTAGGGGCGTTACCGACGTGCTTGTTCCAGCGTCATAATCGAGCATAATATCGAGTCGGCCGCTCCAAAGGGTGAAGGCCGTAGCCGTACAGGTTGAGGGCGTGTGCAGCTTAAGTCTGCTCCATCAAGACACACCTTACAAAGGGGTTCCCGACAATCACTCTAACGCACGAGCACACATCCATATGGTCTGCTTGCAACAGCAGGACACCACGGAACCAATGCCTTCGATTCGTACACACCATATCGTTGTATAACCTACGTTCCCCCGCATATCGGATTGACTTGTGACGTCATGCACTCCTTTTCAATGCAACCCGGAGACCCAGAAAAAAAAAGAAAATTCCAAGAAATTTCCAACGGGATGCCTGCCGTTCAGAGACGCTGTTCATTCGCTGTCCACGTGTGGCATCCCAACAAAGCACTCCATCGTGTAGCAGTCTCTTTCCTTATGGCGTGCTTGAGGGAGTGACTATTAATATTACATTAGTGGAAACTCCTTTCTTGGACACAGCAGCAGTGGGGCCTTCAATAACGAACCCCCGTGTGTTCCTAGCGAATCGACCGTCGCTATTCAAAGTACAGAATGACTTGGTGTTTCAGTCTGTGGTTGTTGTTGTTGTTGTTGTTGTTGTCGAATCGACCGTCGCTATTCAAAGTACAGAATGACTTGATGTTTCAGTCTGTTGTTGTTGTTGTTGTTGTTGAATCGACCGGCGCTTTTCAACGTGCAGAATGACTTGGTGTTTTCAGTCTGTGCCCAGCAATTTCACCGGCGTTTTTCTATGCAAGGCCGCCGGCGTTATTCAACCGGCGCTGTTGAGGACCCACTGCTGTAGTAGAAACTCCAACGCCACTACAGAACGGGCCCGCAGTTGAGAAATATTTTGTGAAGAGACAGGGGCTAAAATACTCACCAAATATAAGAAATTTATAAGAAATTATGGTAAAGAAACACGGCTCAGTCAGTTGTGGGCCCAACATCAAACCCTACATGACAACCTATACTCGACCGTGGCGATGAAATACGACACTGAGCCTCGACCCGAATTTGACGTTTTTCATCTCCGTGCCCGTTCTGCAGCATACGATCCCTCTCCCCTTGACGGACGTACCTGGGCATTCGCGCCAGGCGTCGCGTCCTCCTTGGAAGCCATGTACTCGGTGAGGTGGGACATTCCAACTACGCTCACCACCGGGACCCCGCATTCCTCTTCCACTTGCTGCACCGCGGAGGTGGTGCCTATCACCGATTCCGCGCCGGTCTTCTCCTGAGCGAGTGAGGCATTGCAGCAGGCGCAAAGCGTGGGGACATCGTGGGCATACAGATGTTCTCCATCTCGACTGCTGTCGAAGAATTCTTCGCGCCGGTGGTACGTGTTTTCGTGCCACCAACATGCAGCAAAGTACACTTGGCCGGTTATATCACAGAAGAAGCCGAAATCGAACCTTTAGACTAATCAGCACTGACCAGTATAGTCGTTTGATTTCGGCTTCCATAAAAGATAGTGGTGGATTCGGTTTGATTTCTGCTTCTACAAACCATACCAATAAAAACATTCAAGCGAAGAGCAGAAAATGAGGACAAACCGAACCACATGTACAATATTCACTTCCAACCAGTGGTGCTGATCAGCATTTACTTCTTTCATACTCTGTTCCCTTACGCAGCTGCAGTTGCTCGCTGCTATTTTTCAGGGCTGTGCACGAAGTAGAACCGCTCCGCGGAGCGGTTATTATTTTTTTTAAGTTCCACGGAGCGTTTTTTTTCAATTGAAAATATCACGGAGCGGTGCGGAGCGGTTTATCCGAGGGCGAAAGTCTCACGGAACGTAGCGTTTTTTTTGTTCATGTCACGGAGCGGGTTTCTTAAGGGAAAATCACACGGAGCGGAGCGGTTAAAAAAAAAAACGCTCCGTGCACAGCCCTGCTTTTTTTCTTACGTTGTGCTTCGGTTCCTTCCTGTATTGTGTCATCTTGTTATTTTCGTTATCTCGTTCGGTCCTTTATTTCGTTCTTTTGTTCTTTTGTTATTCTCTTCACCAGTTTTGGTCGGCCCTCCTTGTTTTTTTGTTCTCTTCACCTGTTTCGTTATTTCGTTCTCTTCCCCTGTTTTGGTCGGCCTTCTTGTTGTTTTGTTCTCTTCACCTGTTTCGTTCTCTTGTTTTTTTGTTATTCTCTTCACCTGTTTCGGTCGGCCCTTCTTGTTCTTTCTTCTCTTCCGCCTGTTTGGTTCCATTGTTCTTTTGCTATTTTGTTCGCTTGTTTTGGTCGGTCCTTCTTGTTCTTTTTTTCACTTCCGCCTGTTTTGTTTTATTGTTCTTTTGTTCTTCTCTTCACCTGTCGGTCCAAAGCGATGACGACTCCAGCTGGCGTGGCGCCCTCCTTGCGCAAAATCCCGAAGGCCTCTCGAATAGCTGTCCCGGCCGTGATGACGTCATCCACCACCAGCACGCGCTTGCCCTGTGCACCAAAACCATCCAAGGTACACAACAGACACCGCGTGACAACACCGCAAGGGCGAGGGTTGCAGTCTTATGAAACATAGATGCAAATACAAACACAGAAAAGACAACCCTTTCGAGATATGACAACAGTCGAAGGGTATGTGTTGGAGTCTTCGCAGTGAGTGGAGGGAAACAGGCTGGGTACTGGACTTATTTCAAGTCCGTTTGGCTTATTTCGAGTGTGTTTCAAGCCTGTACACCGATGATTTGTACCAATGATACTAGTATTAATAGCTGGTGCAGTATGTCAAGGCGGAGACAAAGAAACCATGGGGGGGGGGGGGGGGGGGAAGTCGACCCAGACCTACTATATAATAGTGTCACTACCGTGAGAGGCCGAGGAAGAGATGACACCCCCCCTACGAATAGACCGATTTTCAAGGCTCCATCACTCCCCAACCAAGATTACGCCCACACAAACAATAGTGGATTCGGAAACATCTCATCGAAGATCTTCGTCGACGTATCGGGCGCCGCACCCTCTTGATTGTGGGGCAATCAAATCAACCTTTGAAAAGTGCAGTAGTTGGTCTGGGGGCGGGGTGCCGTCTCCCCGCCCCTTTTGGTAATCCCGCACAGGAGGAAGGCCACACAGGAGGTTCGTTACAGACAGAAATATGCAGCCAAGATGAAAGCGGATTGTATACCTTGAGGTCTTCGCCGACCAACAATCCCCCTTCCCCGTGGTCCTTGGGCTCCTTGCGGTTGTAGGAGAAGCCGATGTCTCTGTCGTGCAGGTCCGCCAGCGTGTAGGCGACCGCCGCACCTAGGGGAATACCCTGCGTGGTGAGATACACGGGGAGGTGGCAACAGCAAGCAGAACCAGAAAGGAAATGCCGAGAAAAGTCTTACCAGCGGGGAGCATCGATCGAAGGGTTTGTCCGTTCGTTCCACGGGACAAGGTAATAATACAAGGCAGAAAGGCTCGTAGAGGGGGAGGAGAGCAACAAAACACACTTAGAACACACACCGGAGAATTGTTAGTGGTGAGCCTGTTAGCGCGGTCGATGCTATCCAAAGACACACACAGGCACACGCAAGACCGGGACAGAGAGAGACCAATTTCCATTGGTCAGCCGGTCAGCGCGGTCGATGCTATCCAAAGACACACACAGGCACACGCAAGACCGGGAGAGGGAGACAGACTCATTTCCATTGGTCAGCCAGTCAGCGCAGTCGATGCTACCCAAAGACACACACACCGAACCTTGTAGGCGGGGCCGAAGACGACATCGAACTCCAGCCGAGGGCGAGCGTTCATGATCGCCTCGGCATAAAACTTGCCCAGCTTAGCGAGCGCGCTCCCCTTGCAGAAGAGGCCGGCGTTGAAAAAGTAAGGGGACTGGCGCTTGGACTTGAGCTCGAAGAACGCCTCTCCCCCCTCAGAGAAGTCGCCGAACTTGAGCACCTTGTGCGACATCGAGAACTCGATGAACTCTCGCTGGTACGGCAGCAACGCCGTTGTTGTTGTCGATGCTGCTGCTGCTGCTGGTTCCTTGCGCTGATCCGTGCACCGTTTCTGATCAGAGAAAGGTGATCGATAGCCGGGCGAGTCCAAACGAACGTCGAGGGTGTTAGGTTAGGTGCGTGGAATTCCACATGCATGGGCGTACAAGTAATCTTGATGAAGAGCCTAACTGCAGATGATCATCATTTTCCGTCCCTATGCATACATCACCCAGAATAGACAAGGTCAGGTTCCGTGGACCAAGCAGGCATTGCGCCGCAGCCCCCAGACGTGTATCTTGGTTTGAGACTGAGACACCAGGCGGGGAGCTGTTTCACAAGCAAGCGTCGGGTGGGGGGGCGCAGCTGTTGGCTGCCCGAGGGGTAAATTAACAAATAACGCCATTGGCCACTAATGCGGTACAATAGTGGGCCTTGTATAGTGACGATCGACTAGTGCCAGCAAAATCTCTCTGGACACATACCGGCACAACACAGGGCCTACCCACTACGGTACCCCACCGCACCACTGCTGCTCTACGCCGCCACTACTGTCCTGCTGTTGCAGAATACCTCACACAACTATCACTATTCGGGAACCGCTATTGGGGACCACATATCAGAGCTGAGAGGAGAGAGAACGGAGGAGGCACTGTCATGGTTGTTGATGGATCGGTCCCGTTTCCGATCCTATGCGTGGGTATGCATGCCACTGTGGTATCTTCCGTACGCGGTGCAGCACTGACTTGACTGACTTGACTTGTCTTCCAATTCTCCCACGAAGAGATAGTTGCAAAGCTTCTCCCTTACTCACGTCTACTGCGGCTTTCGCACCGTGTACTTGTAGGCCCTACAACAACAACAGCGACAACAGCAGTAACAACAGCGACAGAACCTCTTCACAACAATAAAGACCACGACAACAACAACAACAACAACAACAACAACAACAACAAGTGAACCCACCCTGGCGGCGTTTATCCGGTCCTTGAGAGCCACCGCCTCCGCCGCGGGGTCATCTGCCCTGCTGATGCCTCGGGAAACGGGGACGAGAAGCCCCATTCCCCTCTCGTCTAACGCCGCCGAACACGCCTCATCGAGGTCTCCACCCTGGGCACCGACGCCTGCGTGAAGAAAAAAGAAGACGGACAAACAATGTTCGCGGAATGGGAGCGGGGGATTTGAGCACGACGCAAGAAGCACCTATATTCAGCACCTCATTTTAAGGACATAGAAAAAAAAAAGACAAGATTCTTTGAGGGACGTGAAATAATCGACGGTCGAGAGCGCCTGAGGGCGATTCGTCCTGGGTCACTCTCGCTGGTGCGTCCAAATCATGCCGAACGGTGAAAATCTCGTGTCCGTAACGAAACAGATGGCAACAAGACAAGACAATCCCCCATATTCGTCGTTTTTCTCGTCGGCGATTATGCCTCCCTTAAAGATTGTTCCCTCCGATCAGCACCGGCGTGAAGCGTGTTCCATGGCAGAAGCGAAGAGCTTCGAAGTATTGAATATGCTGCCGTGGGTTCAGGCAACAGCGGTCAATTATAGTCTGTTTGAGATACACTGCGCCGTACCTAAGTTCTTCGGCAATAGCACGGCCTTACGCATCAGAACACGAGAAACATAACATTCATTAAATTTCATTTTTGGGGGTCTTCGCGCTGACATGACAGCACGTCAAATCAGCGCCCACAGACGATGGAATATTATTGCTGCTGTCACCTTACAGGCCAGAAGCCTAAACCTTCGCGATATTTTGGCAATTTTTGTCGTCATGGCCGACCACCGGTACCATCCACTTCGCCAATCGTGCTACATACCAGAATAGCACCAGTACCAATAGAGGGTCGAGCAGACGGCAACTTGCACGTACTAAAACAGATGGGGTTAGTTGGCTCCGACAGACGATGAAATATTTTGCTGCGCTCACTCTAGACCGAAAACCTTCGCGATTTTCTGGCAATTGTTGTCGTCATGGCCACCGACTGATAAATTTGCTCTTGCCGTCTTGCTACAAAAAGTGCCAATAGTAGTACATCAATAAGCTATCGTCCAAAGGAAGCACCAGTACCTAAATAGGTTGAACAGACAATACTTTGCACGTACAAAACAGATGAGGCTGAAGGTTGGCTCCGACAGACGATGAAATATTTTGCTGCGCTCACTCTAGGTCAAAACCCTTCGCGTATTTCTGGCAATTGTTGTCGTCATGGCCACCGACCGATAAATTTGCTCTTCCCGTCTTGCTACAAAAAGCGCCAACAGTAGTAGTCAACATCAATAAGCTATCGTCCAAAGGAAGCACCAGTACCTAAATAGGTTAAACAGACAATACTTTGCACGTACAAAACAGATGAGGCTGAAGGTTGGCTCCGACAGACGATGAAATATTTTGCTGCGCTCACTCTAGGTCAAAAGCCTTCGCGATTTTCTGGCAATTGTTGTCGTCATAGCCACCGAAAAAAAAAAAAACTGTCTTGCTATCTACAAACAGCAGTGCCTATCACATATCCTCACAAAGGTTGCGCCAGATCCAAAAACGGTTGAACAGTAAACAAATTGCATGCTTAAATGCGGGGCTTGGCTCCGACAGACGATGAAATATTTTTGCTGCGCGCTAGACCAAGAGGCTTCGCGATTCTCTGGCATTTTTTGTCGTCACAGCCACCGACTGATAAATTTGCTCTTCCCGTCTTGCTACAAAAAGCGCCAACAGTAGTAGTCTACATCAATAAGCTATCGTCCAAAGGAAGCACCAGCACCTAAATAGGTTAAACAGACAATACTTTGCACGTACAAAACAGATGAGGCTGAAGGTTGGCTCCGACAGACGATGAAATATTTTGCTGCGCTCACTCTAGGCCAAAAGCCTTCGCGATTTTCTGGCAATTGTTGTCGTCATAGCCTACCGATGCCTACAGTTAGCCTTTCGTGGTACAACGAAGGTCTCTTGGTAGCAGCAGATCAACAAGGGTTGAACAGACGAAACATTGCACGTGCAAAATGAAGGGCTTGGCTCCGACAGACGATGAAATATTTTGCTTCGCTCACTCTAGGCCAGAAGCCTTCGCGATTTTTTGGCAATTTTTGTCGTCATAGCCACCCTTTCATTTCACCGTCGGCAAGACACACCATAGTATGCATACAACTGTACACTATTTCAGTAGGTCATAGAAGCACCTATTGTGTCAAGTACTACGACAACATCAAAAGTGTTCACCATCAATCGCTGGCAGCACTTCGATTCGAAAACCTATACAGCAGTATCGTTACGTTAAGAGGTACGTTACTCAGCAATCTCGCTATAATAATCGTATCACAGACACGCATTCCGGTAAGCCAGCGGGGAGGGAACGGAGCGGCATTGATGAGCCCCACCCCGACCAAAACTCGGCATACCACTCCTCCATCCTGGCATTACAGGGATGCGAGGTCAATGGTCTAACGACCATGGCATGCGTCCACATGAGTACACTTGCCCCCTCCCCCCCACATCACAGACACGCCTTTCAGTAAACCAGGGGGGGCAGAGGCGGAACGGAAATTATCACCTGCACCCTCCCCGATTAAACCCGGCGTGCTCCGTCGAGGTCAATGGTCTAACGACCACTGCATGCACAACTATGAGTACTCCCCCCCCCCCCCCCGACAAACCTGAAAAAAAAAAGCGTTCCAGTTATAGTATCTGCACGAAAAAAAAAAAATTCTCTAGGAAACCTCCTCTCTTTTATTAAATTTCGTTTCGTATGATACCTGGAGCGAGGATCCACAGATCCGGGGCGGCAGCTCGTACGCGGGCGAGAGCTTCTGGATCAGTAGCTCCAACCACGAGACCCACGTTGTTGTCCTTGTTCCAACTAAAGACCGACAAGAGAAATCGAAAAGAAAAATTATAGTATCAACGGTATGTAGATGCCAAGAACGAGATGCGAAGAGACCGACGTCGTTGTCCTTGTACCAACCAAAGACCGACAACAAATAATAGAAAATATAAACAATACAGCATATCAACGGTGTAGATGTGAAGAACGAGATGAGAGAAAAGAAGGCAAGCAGGCAACAAGTAGACAATGAAAGAGGTATGTATCCATGAAGAACGAAGCAAACAGGCGTGCTTCGTTTGGAACAAGGGGGCTCCGTGCATTGGAGAAAACAACAAAAAGGAACAGGGTGTGTGTGAAGGTACATGTAACAAAGAACGAAACACACTCACTCTTGTAGTATAGCGGGAAACAAAATCCAGGAGAGCAAAACAGCATATCGTGCGCTTGGCAGGGAGGGGAGTGAACACAAACAAGGACGAAAATAACAAAAACACACCCACAATTCAACTATGTTTATGACGTTTCGGAGGGCGTGGAAAGGCCGGTTGGAGAACCAGAACACAAAATAGGCAAGAGGAAAGGCTAAGGTTAAGGTATGTGTTTTGTACCGTGCGTTGTGGAATGCTCGATTAGCAGGGGTATGCCCCACAAAAGCACGGAAGGCAGAAGAACAGCGTGTGATGCTACCTGGGGGTCGAAAGGACCTACTTGCCTGTCTGCACGAAGTGATCGCCCCTCACCATCAACAAGGTTAGTCAGAAAAGGGCACAGAGTACCAAGTGCGATCACAGGGAGGGCCACCCTTTGTTCCGTGCCACGATGAAACGACATGCCAAACCGAGCTAGGTAACACCGGAAAACACGGGCGTGACAAAAGCAACCACACATTCAATGGAGCTAGCTACAAGCTGGGTTATATCCCTCCAACACCTGCAACACCACCACCGGCAGGTACTGCAACACCAACACCACCGCCCAATAAAACTAGACAAGTCACCTTTGGCACAGCGAAGCCACTTCTTCGAACAGGGCCTTGCCGCTGTTTCCCACCGGGAGCGTCTGCAGCTCGTTCGAGCTCCTGTTCGACGTCTGCCCAACGAGCCAGCAGGGACAGGGGACACAATCAACCAGGAGACAAACGTCCCAGTACATAATGGTACATGAGCATTTGTGCAGCTGCGTGTTCACGCAGCACTGCTGTCATGTTAGTCTCCGTTTCTTTCCATAGTATCTCGTTTTCCTTGCGTGCTGAGTCGGTCTCTCCAACCGAAGCGATGCGTTTGTGTATCTTGCGAATCGCCAAGAACAACTCTATTGTACAAATTTCCACCTTCTTTGGTCGGCTCAGGCACAACCCCTCCAACTACATCCGGAACCATGTAGAGACGGGAATGAAGCATAGAAAAGAGGCTTCTGCCGAACACCGATGGAAAGGTCTGCGAGATCGCCCAATAATCCTCGAAGGTGAACTTGAGGTAAAGGTTCAATCGGTTTCAACTCGGCGAATTCATCCAGATCCCACCGCCGACGCGGAGCAATCATTGAGCTAGACAAACAACCCCCCCCCCCCCCCCACAAAACAAACCTGCCTTCACTCTA